GGCTCGTGACCCTCACAATGTTCAATGACAATCATTAAAGCTAGATATTAAAGTTAGTTACTGTTCACTTCTTTCACCAGTGTGTGGCTCACAACGACGGTACAATCAAGACCATGCATGGTCTGCTTGAGGCCCATTTGGTGCTGTACCATGTCCATCGGCCAAGCCTTTGATCTTTCTCTTTGTTTTCACCATCTGACAAGTCGTTTTGCATACTATTCCTAGCTTTAATACCTTGTCCCACTCGAGCTCCAAAATCTCTCTCTCTCTTTCTCTCTCTCTCACACACACACACCACACACACACAGACAGCACAAATGGAGGCTCTTAATGAGAGATTGCTGCTCTCAAGTAGGGATGATGGAAGCCAAGATTTTAAAAAGCTTTAACAGAAAGAAAAGCTGGGGTGGGGTGGGGTGGGGTGGGTGCTGTTGTTTAGGTCTTTAATATTAACCCCACGTATATGACACACAGTTCAGGTTTTGTTTCTTTGAAGTTTTTCTTATTTTAAAAAGAGAATTCTAATTATCCAAGATTGTACTCTTACAATCTAAATCTTAGCATACAAGTTTCTTCATTTATTCAGCCGCTATCTTCTTTCTAAGGAATATATTTTGAAATTATTATTGTTGTTGGGAATCAACTTCCTCCTACGACCCATCAATTTTTTACTAGAATTTTTACACCTTATTTATGGGCTTTTCTTGTTAAGGGGGCGACAGCAAGTTGTTGAACGTCAGTAGTACCATTGAGTAGAATTAAATTATTATTTTTTCCAGGAGAAAAAAGAAATAGAAAACAAAGAAAAAACTCAGCTTTCAGGAAGAAAATTGTCTTTGTTGAAGATTTCAAATAACGTAGGCAAGAGGCTCTTGTTGACCCTAATATGTGGATGAGAGTGGGCCTTGGACATGCTTCAAAGTCATCTAGTTAACGTAAGCCATGGGATCAAAATCCCCATTCACTATGAGTTCTGATACTGCAGAAAAAAGAAAAAAAGAAAAATTGAGAGAAATGGTGACTCTCCCCCAGACCACTCCTATTTAATACAGTGAATTGCTGTTTCTTTTTTATTTTTTAAATTCTTCCAAACCCCCTGCAATATTTCATCTCTTGGATTATTGCCCAGTATCAGGCAATGCCAAATTGTTTCTCTCACCATGTATTGACCCAATCAACTCTATCTCTATCAAGCACCCCACACCCGCTCCTCCACCCCACACCCACAACACCCCCCCCCCCCCCTTGCCCCGCGCGCGGCGCGCACACAATTTTGTTTTTGAAGATCCAGTTACAAAGATAATTCCATAACAACCACAATCTTATATGAGAAGGAATCAATTATACAAGTGTAAGAGTAAAATTATCTACACCAAATTTTATATCATTAATTGGTCAAAATCAATAAATCAAATTAGTTAATATTTTAGAAATAAAAATAACTATAAGTTAATATTTTGGAAATCAACTGTAACTAATCACATTCATGAAATTTGACTAAATCTACTATATAAAATTTAGTGTAAGTGTTTTATACTTTACTGATATGAATTGATCCTTCTTATATCAAATGCTACACGTTCACTTAAGTTATGACCACTTAATCACTTTTTTTTATATTTATTTTGATGATATAAGATTAGCTTGGTATGATATTAATTTAGTTTTTTTTAAATAAAAAAGAGACCAATAAATGTTATATAGTAAAAGGTTCAAGTTTTAAAATAAATTAAAATTTGATTTTCAAACTTCAATCAAAATTTGTAATGCCAATTGCTTGCTTCAATGTGTACATATAGAAAAGGCAAGAAATTTCTCTCTTCAATCCAAACTATTTTCTTACTTCAAAAATAAAAATAATATTTCCTCTATTCTATTTTTCAAAAAAATGAAGTGTATGATGAGATGTCGCAATTTAATTAATAAATGTATCATGTTATTTTAATGAATATTTAAGTTAAAATCAACTAAAAATGATGTATTTCTTTTTATCTTTACAGGTATTCTCATCCATTTCATAATTAAGACTAATCCTCTACCCCTCTCTAAAAATATACTTTCATAGATTCGGACTTGATTTTTTTTCTATTAATATAAAAATATCTTACCCTTTTTTTTCACACCCATAATGAAAGATAGGGTTTTAATTCAAGTCTAAATCAATTATATAGTAAATACAAAAGCTTTTGCTTTCTCTATCCGTCTTTGTATCTCTTCCTCTCTTTGGTATTCTCTCTAAAAATTTGGGTTTTTTACAAACCCGCTGAACTCTGAAAATAATACCAGCACCCACAGTACTCTTTGAATAACAATAACAATAACTAGTTTAAAAAACTAGTTAAAAAATTATCCTTTAACCCAGTGTATAAGAGTCACAAATATTTGTTTATATCTTAATTAATATCAAATTTGTGTGAATATTAAAATATTTTAAAATTTTAACCATAAATACTAAAAATATATTTTTAACAAAAAAGATTAATAATTTAAAACAAATTTTTGTTATATCTTAGTATATTTATATTTTTTAATATAATAATTCTGGTTATGGCATTCCTCTTGCATCTTTAAATAATAAGAGGAGGTTGCTCCTCACCCGAAAACATCTTTGACTTTTGACTTCTGGATTTAAAAGTTTAAGATCTTGGGATTGTTTTGCACTTATGAAAACCCAAAATTTGATTCAAGGTACTTAAATTTTTTGTAGTTTCGAAAATGTCTATCCCTCCTCTCAATGGACAACTATATCAAGTGCGGATTTCAGCAAAGATGGGCTTTCCCTCATTTACTATTTCAATCTAATCCAGATCACCTTATAAATAAATATTTTCAACGATGCATAATAATTCTAAAGTAATTTTTTTTTATCAATAATTGTTTTAGAAATATCTTGAGATATCATTAATAACAAAATAATATTTGTTGCAAAAGCTTAATGCAACTAATAATATATAGTATCTATATGTACCCCAAAAATTTTATTTATTCATTTTTTAGCAACAAAAGAGTCTTTTTTTTTCATCTTCTATTTTCGTAAAAGAAGAGAAAAGCTCCCCATACCAAACATCAACAAGAAAAAGGGCCCTGACACCGGAAAAAAAAATCTTGATTTAATTCGTGGTAGACAAAAACATGCATATGACAAGACATAACCCCCGAACTCAAACACTCAAGAAATAGGCAAAGAAGCTCTCAGCCTAGAAGTTATGGCTATATTAAAGGTCAACTAATACGGATAAGAGTTTAATTTTCCGCCATTTGGTTGATAGCAATAAAGTTGAAAGCAATTGAAAATGAATGAAAAGGAAGTGACAGGTCTAATTTGGCGAAGTCTTTGTATTATTTTGAATATGCAAAACGCTATTACCTTGTCTTTTGGGCAATGCAAAAATCCACACATCATGAGATTGATCTTTTAGGAATACTTGGCATGACAAAGATTTTATATCGCTGATTTTATATGTGTGTGTTATCATATAAGAGGTTAAATTACAATTTCTTATTCCTTTGAAGATCTTCTAGCTTAGTTCTTATTTTTTTTGTCTTCTCAATTCTTTTATTCAATTGTTTTTCCACCAATATTAAAATTAATTCTTGATATATCAAAACATCACAAGATAAAACCCTAACCAAAACACTTAGGTGGAGTTTGGTGATGTTTATTTTTGTTTTTAGTTATGCTTATTAAAAAAACAAAATACTGAAATGAAATAAGTAGGAGAATAGGAATGTCTAAACAAATGCAAAAATAAATTTTAGATTTTCAATAATTTTATAAATAATGATAACAAGTACAATACTTTTAATGGGTTGCATATAATTTACAAAATAAACTTTAAAAAATTGAAAACATAAATAAAAAAATTTTGAGTTACCAAATGATATTAATTAAGAGTCAAATTCTTGTGAATTATTTTATAGGTCAAGTGGTCAATTTAAGTGTTATGTTTGACCGTTTTGTAAATCATACTAAGAGTTGAAAGCAATTGAAAACAAATGAATAGAAAATAAAAGGTTTAGTTTAACAAAGTCTTTTATATTTAATTAAATACAGAAATCACTCTTCACCTAATTTATTAAATAATAAATGTTTTATATATCATTCCACTTTATATAGCATAGATACAAATAATGCAAAGTAAAATCATTGATCCAAACAAGAAGCAGAGAAAATAAGTCCCAACTCATTTGTTTTTCATTTTTTCCTCTAAATGATTCCCATGAAAATATTATTTTATTTATTATATCAAATGTCATAACCTTTATTATCTATTGATTGATTTCTTTCTCCTTTTTTTTTTTTTTTGTAATTCTAAATTTTCCTTAGCGCTATTGTGCTTTGCTTTGAAATTTAGCAGCGTCATATAATATTTATGAAAAATTAATAAAAAAATGTTTATTTAAATTTTTATCTCATTGGATTGATTTCCTCCAAAACAAAACAAGTAAAGATAAAATAGGTTTTTAAGTGCCAAAAAGAAAAAAACTTCTAATTCTTATAGACAGAGAGCCTAAAACATAGATTTAACGTTTTCTTTTGTTTTAAATTGACAAAAAGAATTGAAATCAAAGTCAAATACACATGGGCATTAAAGGTTTATAACCATACGGAACATGATCTAAATAATCACATGAAATATACTAAAAAAATTTAGAAAATTGAAAAAGGAAAAGGATAATGATATGCAAAAACAAGCTTATTTTGTTATGTTTTTTGGTCTTATTTTTCTTGACTTTGTTGATAGCAAATTATTCAATTTTAGCTGCTTGTCTTGATTAAATCCAAGGTTCAAATATAAGATGCCAGCTTCACCCCGTGTAACTATATGCATTTGCAATCTATAAATACCCCCAATGATATTCACTTTAAACTCATCACTTCTCTACCCAACTATTTCCCTTCATAGCATCTATTAGCAAACCAAGAAATCATGCTCACCTTAAATTCATTCTCCAACCAGTTCTCCTGCTCTAGAGTCATTTTGATCGTTTTTATTCTTATGATAGTCATATCCATCTCTTCTTTTAACTTTGCCGCTTCCTTTGTATCTTTTACGGTTAAAAGTACTACACTTAGCAAAGAAAGTCTAAATGAAGAACTGGCCTTGCTCAACTGGAAAGCTAGCCTCCAAAACCAAAGCCAATCTCGCCTTTCATCATGGGCCGGAACCAACCACTGTAGTTGGATTGGAATTTCCTGCAATAAAGCTGGCCACGTGACAGGTATTAAACTTACGGGCTATGGTTTGAAAGGCACGCTTTCAAGTCTAAGCTTTTATTCATTTCCACAACTTCTTAGCATTAATCTCACAAATAATTCAATCTATGGAGTCATTCCTACCCATATTGGAATTAGTTCAAGACTCACCTATCTCAGCCTGCACGAAAATCTTCTTTCAGGGACAATTCCACAGGAAATAGGGAAGTTAAAATCTCTTATTGTTCTTGGACTTTCATTCAACAATCTCATAGGTCACATTCCCACTTCTTTAGGGGAATTAGGAAATCTCAAAACTCTTTACCTTCATGGTAATCAACTCTCTGGATATATTCCACAAGAAATTGGAATACTAAAGTCTCTCATTGATCTTGATCTTTCACTTAACAATCTCACAGGTCTTATTCCAACTTCTGTAGGAGAATTGAGTAACCTCAAAACTCTTTACCTTTGGGGTAATCAACTCTTTGGACCTATTCCACAAGAAATTGGAAGGCTAAGGTCTCTTACTGATCTTGCTCTTTCAAATAACAGTCTTATTGGTCCTATTCCAACTTCTTTAGCTGAATTGGACAACCTTGAAACTTTTTACCTTCACAGCAATCAACTCTCTGGACAAATTCCACAAGAAATTGGAATGTTGAAGTCTCTCATTACTCTTGTACTTGCAAATAACAGTCTCATTGGTCCCATTCCAACTTCTTTAGCTGAATTGGGCAACCTTGAAACTCTGTGCCTCAGTGGTAATGAACTCTCTGGATCTATTCCACAAGAAATTGGAATGCTAAAATCTCTCATTGATCTTGAACTTTCAAAGAACAAGCTCACAGGTCCCATTCCAACTTCTTTAGGAGAATTGAGCAACCTCAAAACTCTTTACCTTTGGAGTAATCAACTCTTTGGACCTATTCCACAAGAAATTGGAATGCTAAAGTCTCTCACTAATCTAGCCTTTTCAAATAATAGTCTTACTGGTCCTATTCCAATTTCCTTAGCTAAATTGGACAATCTTGAAACTCTTTACCTTCACAACAATCAACTCTCTGGACAAATTCCACAAGAAATTGGAATGCTAAAGTCTCTCATTGTTCTTGCTTTTTCAAATAACAATCTTACTGGTCCTATTCCAACTTCTTTAACTGAATTGGGCAACCTTGAAACTCTGTACCTTAGTGGTAATGAACTCTCTGGATCTATTCCACAAGAAATTGGAATGCTAAAATCTCTCATTGATCTTGAACTTTCAAAGAACAAGCTCACAGGTCCCATTCCAACTTCTTTAGGAGAATTGAGCAACCTTAAAACTCTTTACCTTTGGGGTAATAAACTCTTTGGACCTATTCCACAAGAAATTGGAATGCTAAAGTCTCTCACTAATCTAGCTTTTTCAAATAATAGTCTTACTGGTCCTATTCCAATTTCTTTAGCTAAATTGGACAATCTTGAAACTCTTTACCTTCACAACAATCAACTCTCTGGACAAATTCCACAAGAAATTGGAATGTTGAAGTCTCTCATTACTCTTGTACTTGCAAATAACAGTCTCATTGGTCCCATTCCAACTTCTTTAGCTGAATTGGGCAACCTTAAAACTCTTTACCTTAGTGGTAATGAACTCTCTGGATCTATTCCACAAGAAATTGGAATGCTAAAGTCTCTTATTGATCTTGAACTTTCAAAGAACAAACTTACAGGTCCCATTCCAACTTCTTTAGGAGAATTGAGCAAACTCAAAATTGTTTTCCTTTGGGGTAATCAACTCTTTGGACCTATTCCACAAGAAATTGGAATGTTAAGGTCTCTCACTGATCTTGGTCTTTCAGAAAACAGTCTCACAGGGCCCATTCCAAGTTCTTTAGCTAAATTGGGCAATCTTAAAACCCTTTACCTTTCTGACAATCAACTTTCTGGACCTATTCCATATGAAATTGGAATGCTAAAGTCTCTCATTGTTCTTAAACTTTCAAATAACTGTCTCATAGGTCCCATTCCAACTTCTTTGTTCGAATTAGGCAACCTCAAAACTCTTTATCTTGGTTCTAATTTACTCTCAGGATCTATTCCTTAAGAAAGTAGAATGCTAAATCTCTTGTTGATCTTGAACTTCCATACAATAGACTGATAGGCTTCTTTCCAAATTCTTTAAGGGAATAATGTAACCTTGCAACTCCTTGCCTTAGGAGTAATCCGTAATTACGTGATTATTTGGTGGGAACTTAATCATCTAGTCTTGGACTTTTGGGGTTTTTGAAAATGTTTAGGCAAGGAACTTAATGGCTGTAGGAAACAAATTAAGAAACAAAATCTAGGTTTGGAAGAGGGAAGACTTTAGGGATAGAATTAAATAAATAGAAAAATAATGAAAAGAACAAGCTCTTGCTCTAGAACCATCTTCTTCTGTCATAAACTCCAAGCCGACATGCTACTTAGGTAGCCCAATCTCCCTATCTATTCCTTCTTGTTCTCTCAATGATGGAATTCATTGATCACTGAAATTGTTGCTATGTTTTCTCTCTCCCCTCTAATTGCGATTGAGGTTGCCGCTCCTTTTATCTCCATTGGCTAGAGATTTTCTCTTGTCAACCCTTGTCTATTTTGGTTACCATTGCCATCTACTGCTCGATTTGTCATTTCCTCAATAAAATCAACATTGACAATCATTATTTCTACCCTACTTCGACACCAACATCAAAGTCGACTACCATAGCCACTTAGTCTCTCTCTCTCTCTCTTCCATTGGTTTACTGCCAATGCCGACCATTCCACAACATGATTCCAATCTCGGTGAGATCCTCTCCTTCTCCTTCACTTTTTCTCTCTTTTTTCCTTCTTTCATCTTCTTTCCACTAGTTGTGGTCTCACAATTAGGTTCTTCCTTGTTGCCTCCATACCAGTCAGAGCTGTACGGCAATCGCAATTCATCCTTTGTTGATGCCTAAACTCCCCCTTGACTCAGGTAAGCCCCTCTTCTGTTAAACCTTTGAGTGTGTTCTTCAATTTCAATTCTACCACTATTTTTTTTTTTGTTTAGTTTGTAGTTCCTACGTCCCTGTTCTTCTCCTACTGCTTTCCCTTTATTTTGTTTGGTTAGGTTCTCTCTTTTGTTTCCTCCTGTTAAGTTTTTACTATGTTATCAGTTATGATTCTCACCAAGTTGTTGTTGTTGCTTTTCTATTGGTGCAATGGCAATGAATCTACTTCTATTCAGCTAATACTAGTTTTGTTCAACTTCTATATGTTAATGACGCATCCATTTGGCTTCTTTGGTTGCTGTGATGTTTCTTCTCTAAGTCTACTTTCCTTATTTGCACATCTATAATTTAGTGGTTTTCAATCTAAGGTTAAGTGAGAAATTAAATTTAGGGATTGTTGTGGTTGGAATCTATGGTGTGTCTTGGTTGTTTTATGGTTTTAAGTTTTCAAGTATCAAGTATGTATAATGATGCTTTGTTTGCAATACTAGGTCCATTGGAAAATTCTTCCGTTGGTACTATTAACTTGATAGCATCATAGACCTAAATTCTTTGGTTTAAACTAAATTGTGAGTGATGACTTGTTTGCAAGTTATATTCAATGTTTTCATATTTCATTATATATGCATTTATTGAAATATTTCAAATGTTTTGGAGACATTTTTATTCTTAAAGTTTAATTAAACCTTGGGACAAGCAGGTTATAATGTTTTTCTTTTGGCTATATATGAACTAAACTTTGAAATATATGTAAAAGATTTTTTAAGGGTACTTTGATAGAACGTTACGGCCAACAATTGTAAACGTTAGCCTTGTTGCACCTTGATCTATATCTCATCTAATAGACGTGTTGTTAGCTAGGTGTGTTTGGCTGACACATTTGGATATGTTCTGTTACCTTTGGGGGATGTTACCTTTCGCGGTTCTGATTAGCTTATGATTTTGATACTCTAATATTCTAGTTCTGGATTAAGACCTCCCAATCTATATTAAATAAATGGTTACTTAAATATTTTTTACATGTACTTGTTTGCAATATTTGTTCAAAGTTGATGTTGTACATATATTTTGGAAAAATGTTGGAAATATTTTGTTAAAACATTGCTTGTCCATATTTGTGATGGATATAAATTATCACTCACTAGATCTCACAACTCACTCCCTCTATCTCTCTTTCAGGTTCAGGTTCATCTACTTGATAAAGGAGTCCTACCTTTGGTGAGCCCAATCCCTGCATATGTGTGGGAGTCTCCTTGTAGACATGTATTACATTTTTTTAGTTCATGTTGGTTTGTCTAGTTTATAAAGTTGCTTGATAAACACCTTTCTAGAAATTATATCAGAAATGAAAACTTCCTAAGGGTTAGAGAAGAGAACTAACCCTAAACAGAAATTTTCTAGAAGAGAATATAGGAAGAGAAAATCTGATGAGAAAGAAAAGATTTTACTAACTATTTCTTATTCCCTTTCTTTGACTATATTCCTCCCTTTTATACAACTGGAAACAAACCAATTAACAGTTCTAACAACTATCAACTAATTACTAACTAATAACAGAACTGACAACTTTCAGTTTACAACTACCAACTAACACTATCTAATAACAGAACTAACAACTTTCAGATTTTAGTTATTTGCTTGTTTTAAAATGGGAACATAACAATTCCCTCCTTCCTTTGAAAATCATCCTTGTCCTCAAGGATTGAATGAAGGATATAATTGCTCCAAGTTGTAATAGTCCATCCAGCTGCTATCTTCTTTAGCACAGTTGTACCATTTGACCAAAACTTGTGTTACTTGTCTATTATTTCTGGAAATAATATGTCTATCAAGGATATGTTCTGGTTCTAGTAGTATATTACCATACTTTGATAACTGAACTGGAAGATGAGGCATAGATGGAAGATTGCCAATATGTTTCTTAAGCTGAGATACATGAAATGTTGGGTGGATTTTTGCTGCAGACGATAGAGATAGCTGATAAGCAACTTTTCCAACCTTTCTCTCAATCTTGAAAGGTTCAAAAAATTTAGGATTCAACTTCTGATAAGAATGGCATCTCAAAGATTGCTGTCTATAAGGCTGTAACTTTACAAAAACCCAATCCCCTACTGCAAATTCCCTTTCTATTATGTGTTTATCAACTTTATTCTTAATTCGTTCTAAGCCATCTTGAGGTGTTGTTTCAACAATCTAATGGTAGATTCTCTTGCTTGCAAACTTCGATCCACTGTATCAACCATAGAATCATGAGGAAGGTAGGGTATATGTAATGGAGGTGATTGCCCATAGACAACTTCATAAGGAGTAGTGTGTGTGGCTGTATGGAAAGTGGTGTTATACCACCACTCAGCAAGAGGTAACGAAAAAAACCAGTCCTTAGGTCTATCACAACACATGCATCTCAAATAACCTTCTAAACACCTATTCACCACTTCAGTTTGTCCATCCGTTTGTGGGTGATAGGCAGTAGAATGATGAAGTTGTACTCCTTGTGATTTAAAGAGTTCTGTCCAAAACTTGCTAAGAAAAACTGTATCCCTGTCTGACACAATAGTCTTTGAAAACCCATGAAGCTTGAAGATACAATCCAAAAAAGTTTGAGCTACTGAGGTAGCTGAGTAAGGGTGAGAAAGACCAATAAAATGAGCATACTTGCTCAGTCGATCTACAACTACTAGCATCACTGTTTTACCATTTGACCATGGTAGACCCTTTACAAAATCCATGCTGATGTCTTCCCAAATTTTATCAGGTATAGGCAAAGGCTGTAAGGTTCCTAGATCAGCTGTATTTTCAGATTTACATCGTTGACATAACTAACATTCCTTGATGTAATTATGCACATCAACCTTCATATTCTTCCAATAATAGATTTTTTCAATCTGTTCAAGGTTGCATTAATACCAGAATGTCCTCCAATTGCTCCATTATGATAAATTTTAAGTAATTGTTTTCGAAGTACCTCTAGTTTGCCTATCACCAATCTTTCTTTTCTATACAAAAGATCATCCCTCCACTGATAAAATGGCTTACTATCAGGATTGTGCCTCAATTTCTGAATGAGTTGTTGTAAATGAACATCATCTACATAAGAATCTTTAACTTGCTGCACTAAAGTTGGTGAAATTCCAGTAAGTTGCATCAGAGTAGCATGGTTCACTTGAATTCTAGAAAGAGCATCTGCCACCACATTATCTTTTCCCTTTTTGTATGTGATTGTATAATCATATCCCATCAGTTTTGCCAACCATTTCTATTGGCTAGGTGTAGAAATGCTCTGCTCCAATAAAAATTTCAGACTTTGGTGATCTGTCTTAATGATGAAATGCCTTCCTACTAAGTAAGGTCTCCATTTTTGGATTGCAAATACCACTGCCATGAGTTCCTTTTCATATACTGATAATCCTTGATGTTTATCTGAGAGTGCTTTACTTATAAAAGCCAGTGGATACCCTTGTTATGTCAATACTGCTCCTATACCATATCCACATGCATCTGTCTCAACAATAAATTCCTTGAAAAAATCAGGTAGAGCAAGCACTGGAGATGTAATCATAGCCTCTTTTAGTTTTGAAAAAGCCTTCTCAGCTACTAAATTCCATTCAAAGCTATTCTTTTAAGAAGATCTGTAAGAGGTTTAGCAATCATCCCATACCCTTTTACAAATCTCTTGTAGTACCCAGTTAAACCCAAAAATCCCCTAAGCTTCTTAACTGTTTTGGGTGTTGGCCAATGTTTCACTGCCTTAATTTTATTAGGATCCACTGCCACACCTGCAGCTGATATAACATGACCAAGATACTCCACTGTTGTTTGGCCAAAAGAGCATTTACTAAGCTTGACATACAACTGATTAATCACCAATAGTTTGAACACTTCTTCTAAATGACATAAATGATCACTCCAAGAATGGCTGTAAACTAGTATATCATCGAAGAAAACAACAATACAAACTTCCTTAAAAATGGCTAAAAAACATGATTCATTAAACTTTGAAATGTGGACGGTGCATTTGTGAGCTCAAAAGGCATAACTACAAACTCAAAATGCCCATGATGAGACCGAAATGTAGTTTTCTCTACATCATCATCAT